TTGAAGTCGTCAGTGGTTTCATTTTACTTGGATGCACAATCAACACCCATGGATGCGGCAGTCAAGAAATCAAAACTTGTGCTGCATTTGGAAGATCTGCTGACAGTACCTCTTACAAGTCTGAAAGAGCAGTGATGTCATTTTAAAAACTGACGTACGCCTGGTCCAAGCCATATTATTTTCAGTTGCTTTTTATGCATATGAAAGTTGCACCGTGAATAAGGGACACAGTGAAGAAGGATGACAGAAGAATCACTGCCGTTGAGTTGTGGCCTTGGAGAAGCGTACTGAATATCCCATGAAATGCCAAAAGAATAGACTGGTCTGTTTTGGAAGAAGTGCAACCAGGCTGCTCCGTCGAGGCAAAGATGGTGAAACTTCATCTAACTTACTCTGGGTATGTTGTTAGAAGAGACCAGTCCTTGGAAAAAGACAACATGCTGGAAAAGGTAGCGGGTCAGAGAAAGACAAGTAGACCCTCAACGAGATGCGTTATTGACACAGCGACTGTCAGAAGAGTCTTGAGCATGTTCAGTTAGTGAGTGTGGTACGGGATAGGGCAGCTGTGTTTGTTCATAGGATCACTGGGAGTCATAGTTGACTCAGTTGCACATAACAGCACAGCAACTGCACATCCCCTGAGAAGAGATTGCCTGCTTTCTCTCTTTGAGTTTCTGCTGGTAGATTTGAACCACCAAAGAGGCATGGCTTTTTGGTTATTGGGGCGTCTCCCAACAGAATATGCCACCAGAGCTCCCTGTTTCCAAAGACAGCTTTAAAAAATCCAACAGGGATTCCAAACTTATGCCAAGACTTTCACATGAGGCTAAGATTCTGCTTTTAGACTGTCTTCTTACAGACAAACCAAGGGCCTCTGGCTTTAGACTGTCATTCCATTTCATGCCACTTTGTCTCTTAGGACAAGCATGAGATGGGAGCCTGGAGTGGGAGGGGAGCCTGGACCTTGTAGTTTCTTTAGATTGCCCCGTTCTGGGCTCTCTCTGGGTGAGCATTTTTTTTTTAAATTTATTTTATTATTTTTGTGTGAGTATACTGTCAAATCAGATCTGACTGGTACAGGAGGAGATTGTCCCTCCTTTCCCGGCAGAGCATCTGGTGGATTTGAACCGTGAGCCTCTGGGATTGTAGTTGCAGCTCCTTACCACTAGGCCACCAGAGCTCCCCTGGGTGAGCATTTTATAGCACTCTTTGTACATCCAGTGTTGATGGCTACTACACTAGAGAATTAACAGAAGAAACGTTGCTCTATCAGCTCTGTAGGGAAAATAAGCCAGTTTGGGCTTATTGAGAGTTGCCTTGTTTTTGCTAATAATATTAAGGTGACTTGTCCTTTGTAAAAAACAATCCAAACTCAAAGATATGGAAACAACATTTATTCAGAACAGATATTTTATATGCGTGTGGGGAGACAATTTTCTTCTAAAAACAAGTGGTTCAAAGTAGACTCGTTGCAGATGTGAATAATAAACCTCGAGTGAGCTCTGAACAATATAATAATTGATTGCCTCATAATTTAATAACAGTTTGTAAATTGCAACCAGGAGTCTCCTTGAATGAAGGAATTGAAGAAAAAGAAAACCTCCTGAGAATTCACATATAGAGGCTTAAATACTTTTATCTAAATGAATACACGTTTCCATGGTGACCTAGTACTTAATACTTTCCAAGTTAGCATTAAGAAGCAGCTCTTGAACATTTAATCCTGTACTTATTTACAAAGGAGCTCTGGTTGCGTGTCTGTGGGGAGTTGTGTTGTTAACCCAAAGGTGACACCTCTGGCAGTCCACGCATGCCATTGGCTTGACAAGAGAAGGGTGGACGGTCTCCTCCCATGCAGTTTACAGCCTTGGCGACCCAGTGGGGGTTCGGTCAGCTAGGAGTTGGTTACAACTTGTTGGCAATGAGTTCACGGTTTTTTGCTTTTGTTCACTTCTTTATGGCATTGAAACTTAGGAAGCCCACAGCCCGTTTCATTAAATCACCAAGTGGGACTTGTGTTACTAATTGCCTCTTTCTAGCTGGAACAGAAAGGCAAGTTCCCAGTGCCTCAGTTAGTTTTGGGGAAAAGAAACAAGTCCGTAATCTGGCAGGATTAAACCAAGCAACTCCTTGGAGGCAAGGATTCTGGGGCTTCGTCTGACATACTTTGGACATGTTGCAAGGAGGGACGGGTCCTTGGAGAGGGACATCATGTTTGGGAGGGTGGAGGGACAGCGCAAGAGGGGAAGACCCTCTATGAGGTGGATTGATTCAGTGACTGGGGTAATCGGGATGGGTGTGTCAGAGGCAGTGCGATTGGCACAGGATAGAGCACAGTTTAGGGCTGTTGTACATAGGGTCGCTATGAGTTGCAAACGACTCGATGGCACATAACAACAACAACAAACAACAACTCTGGCAGCTTCAGTTGAGCTGAAATAGGGTTAATTTTTGTTTTTATGGGTAGGAAAAGCCCTTAGCCATCAAAGTAAGATATCTGTTGTTACTTTTTGTTTTCTTTTTTATTCCTCGAAGAGTGTGGTTACAGTGAACCTGGTATTCCTGCCATGAGCATGCATCTCTCTGAGCTGTGGCCCTAAGTATTCCAAGAATGGAGTCATGAAAAGCCAAGTATATGGTAACATTTTGAGGCCCAAAAAGTTTTACCAGAGTGGAAAAGGATTCTGTCAGTTGTACAGCAGAATTCTGATAGGAAAGTTTACTCTAAAAGGAACTATTGAACTAGATAGTTTAAAACTGATAGTTTAAAACTTGTCTTTGGACGATACTGTGGAGTTCTCCTGTTGACCTTCTTCTCCCTTCTTTTGCACAGAGATCATGGCCCAGGTGGTCATGTCCCCTCTGCCAGTGGGACATGAGGAGTCCTCAGAGAGCCGGATGGTGGTGACGTTCCTCATGTCTGCTCTGGAGTCAATGGTAAGCCTCCCTTTACCTTCTAGAAACAATTCCACACCACAAGTGGATCATTTTGGAAATAAAAGAAGTGTGAACATTCCACTACAGCTTTTGACGTTCAGTTTCAATTTTTTACCTTCTCATTGTAAGAGTCACCTAAGGCCTTAGCGACTGAGGAAGGAAGACCAGAGTGAAAAAAAACCCAAGCATAGTGACCTCCAATGAGATACAGAAGTTAGATGCATCTGGTGAGAACTCCAGACACACAGTTAGTGTATTGTGATTATAGTCACACAGTCAAAACCTGTCTGACTTCAGGAGGGACAGTGTTACCAAGATCAGCCCACAGGGAATCTCCCTGAGGTCAAACACACATCCTATCTCCAGCATTTTTACCAATTCTGTTAACAACCATCCCTTCTACACCACTCTCTTCTCTTCTGGGTTTGGTGATCCATTGCAATGGCCACAAAGAACTCATAGACCATACACATACAGTAGGTGGTATATTGAGGAAGTAAAAGAGTACAATTCTGGATCAGAATCAACAGGCTAGTCTAGTTCTGTAAGCAAAATCTCTCTTCTATAACTTGGGACAGCCATCTCAACTCCCTTCAACCACGCTGGCCTGCTCTCAGCACCCTCCGGACAGGCCTCTCTTGCTGTCCGGCACCACAGTTCTTCCATGAGGTCTGTTCTGGGCCTACCACTGTCTTCAGGGCTATAGCCCTGACTCACATCACAACATATTACACCTTTTAGGAGATTCCTTGCCGATCTTCTGTTTCTCCTTTCTTCCTTCCTGACTGTCTGCTTATCTGCTTCTTCCCTCACAAATTGCCTGCACAAATTCCCCATTAATGTCTAGTTATGGGCCCTCCCCATGAACTGGACCATGAACTGAACTGGTCAGTGTCCTCTTGGTAGGTCACAGATAATGGCATTTGCGTAGTGGACTGTAGTCACTTTATTTGCATAACACGTCCCTACGAAGTATGTAACTAACAATCACAAGGCAGTCTACAGAGCCAGACAAAAAATATTAGACCAAGTTGTTTATAGTATATCCTGAAAGTGAAATAAACCCTCTGCAGGAGAAAACCAGGGCAAAGGTATGTACTCAGGGTTTTGAGGGAGGGTGTGTAGAAATCTCTCAAGCTCTTTGTCCAAAGAATGAAGGCAAAAGGCCACATAATGAATTCATTTCACCACCATTGCGATCAGGAACATGATTTAAAACTTTTATAATTCAGCAGAGTTTTACTGCTGTAACATAAAAGAGCTATGGTGGCCTAATGGCAAGGAGCTACACTGCCATCCTGAAGGTATGTGGTTCGAATCCACCAGCTGCTCCGTGAGAGAAAGATAAACAGATTTCTTCTGTGCGATTAACTGTCTGAAAGCTCACTGGAGGGTCTGCTGTGGGTCAGTTCTGACTTGACAGTACACAACACCACCACAGTGATGAACTAGGTAATAAGGACCAGCTATCACCAGACAGCTAGCACTAGCGAGGAGAATATATATATTTTCTTAATTAATTTTAATGAACATTTACAGAGATTTTGGATTTCCATACATTCATTGTTGCATTCTTCTCCCTGCCCACCCCTCCCCCAGTTCGCTCTTCTCTTTAAAAAGTAAAAGAAAAATTATTTCATTGGTATAGAATCCTCGCCTTCCGGCCCCGAGTACACTCCACTATGCAACCTTCATTCTGAACTCTTGTCATACCCATAATACCCAATCATATATCACTTTCAAACAGTTCTCCCTTTCATCTGTTTCAATGCAGCATACATAATTTATCCAATTTTTCTCAGTCTTACCCCAACCCTGAGGTCAGTCCCGTTCTACAACAGTGGCACCATGCAGCACCTGTCCTTTTGTGACTAAGATACTTCACTCAGCATAATGTCCTCCAAGGTCACCCATTTTGAATAATATTGCATGAGTTCCTTGTTTTTCAATGCAGCATAGTATTCCATTTGTGAACATACCAGAGCTTCTCTATCCATTCGTTGTTGATGGGCACTTAGGTTGTTTCCAGCTCTTTGCTACTGTGAACAAAACTGCAATAAACATGGGTGTGCATGAGGAGGATATATTTTAAAACAGGTGAGAGTTGGAACTCATCTAGACTGCCTAGCTTTTCCAAGTCAGAGAGGTTTTCCAGCATTGACAGGGTATAATAGGCTTACTTCATTTTAATCTTTCATTTTTAGTAGGAAATACCTCTTTGCATTTTCTTCCCTGACAAGTTTCTGCCTCCCAAGGGTTCTGCCTTTCTCAGTTTTTACTATAACAAACTTTTGCTGAAGGCATCAGACATCTGATAAGATGGTAAGGAATTATCTAACCAACAGCCAAACTAAAGAGGCATCAACATATGGACAAGCGTTGGGCATTAAACATGTACTTCTTACTAAAACTAAGCCTAAATCAAGTCTAAGAAGGAGAAAATGTAATGAAGAACTCAGCTTCAGGATTGGAAGAATACTTATTAGTTAACTTGTGTTATGTAGGTGGCACAACCTTGCTTGCTGAAAGTAAAGAGAACTTCGAGCATTTATTGATGTGTTGGCTAGCCTGTGGACGGCCAAAGGAATGAACAGGTGTGTCTTGGAAAAGGTGCAGCCAGGGTACTCTGGAGGAAAAGATGGCAAAACTTCACCTCTCATCCTTTAGACATGTTGCTCGGAGACGCTGTTCCTTGGAAAGGGACATCATCTTTGGGAAAGTGGAGGGCCAGTGAAAGAAAGGAAGGCCTCTAACAAGATGGATTGACAGGATGACTGCAGCAATGGCTCAGGTGTACCACAGATGATGAGGATGGCACCGGACCGGACAGGGTTCAGATCTCTTGTTCATACGGTCACTGTGGGTCGTATTTGACTTCAGGGCACCTAACAATAATAGCTGGGCTGGTGAGCGTCATTTCACTTATGTAGAGCGTGTTATGAGAAGGTGCCAGGCCCTGAAGAAGGACATCGTGCTTGGACCCGGGGAGGGTGAAGGAAGGAGGGTGGGTGCCCTCATGGGATGGGTGACCCAGGGTGTGCAACAATGCACGCAGGTGCAGCAGAGACTGTGATGTGGGGCGGGACTGGGCAGGGTCCCCCTCTGTTGTGCTGAGGGGTCACTGTAAGTCAGAGACTGTGATGTGGGGTGGGACAGGGCAGGGTTTCACTCTGTTGTGTTGAGACATCACTATAAGTCAGAGCTGACATGATGGCACCTAACAACACACAGGAAAAAGTAGAGTATAAAATAGTTTAAAACAAAAAAAGCCGGATTGGCACAGCCTGGTGGCTGGTGTGGGGCACGCTGGGAAGGGTCTTGTGAGCGGGAAGCAAAGGTGTCGGCAATATGGTGAAGCTGACGGCAGAGCTGATCGAGCAGGCGGCTCAATACACCAACGCCGTGCGGGACCGAGGACTCGACCTCCGGGGTTATAAAATTCCTGTTATTGAAAATCTAGGTGCTACCTTAGACCAGTTTGATGCTATTGACTTTTCTGACAATGAAATCAGAAAACTGGATGGCTTTCCTCTGTTGAGAAGACGAAAAACATTATTAGTGAACAACAACAGAATATGCCGCATAGGTGAGGGACTTGACCATGCCCTACCATGTCTGACAGAGCTCATTCTCACCAACAACAGTCTTGTGGAGCTGGGTGATCTGGATCCTTTGGCATCTCTGAAATCACTGACTTACCTAAGTATTCTCAGAAACCCTGTAACAAATAAGAAGCATTACAGGCCGTATGTCATTGATAAAGTCCCACAAGTCAGAGTACTGGATTTCCAGAAAGTAAAACTAAAAGAGCGTCAGGAAGCAGAGAAAATGTTCAAGGGCAACCGGGGTGCACAACTTGCAAAGGATATTGCCAGGAGAAGCAAAACTTTTAATCCAGGTGCTGGTTTGCCAATTGATAAGAAAGGGGGGCCATCTCCAGGGGATGTAGAAGCAATTAAGAATGCTATAGCAAATGCATCAACACTGGCTGAAGTGGAGAGACTGAAAGGGCTACTACAGTCAGGTCAGATACCTGGCAGAGAGCGCAGACCAGGACCCGCTGATGATGGTGAAGAGGAAATGGAAGAAGACACGGTTACAAATG